CTTGTTCAGAATGCATGGGTGAAGGTCTTCCCGAATCTTCGTTAGTGAAGACAGGCCTTCTTCATAGGAGAAGGAAAGCTCCTATCTTCAAACCTTGGCAGATGGAGCTCGTCTAGCCTTGTAAGGTCTTCCATCTAGGAGAAGGACACTCTTACAAAACTGTGGACTTTGCTGTCACCGTCCTAGCTAGCTAGGCCGTGGCAGTTAAACCTCAGGTGTAAAGGGTGGGGCCAGTTCTGCACAAGCTACGCCTCACCTAAAAAATCCACTGCGCAGGCTGGAAGGGCTCACTCTCACTTGTCTGTATGGACAGGCGAGGGTCGAAACGGTAGGTGAAAAGGTGCATGGGAAGCTGCAGATCCAACCTTGCATGCGGGCGGACCAGCGCATGGGTAGCTCGAGATTGCTCAGGAGTTGACAGTCCTGGTCGGACACTTCCCGATTGCCTAAGAACCCTTTTTTTTTTTCCAACCAGATTTGCATATCGCACATGCTCTTGGTCATCGTCCTTGTAGTAAGCATGGTTAAAGCCCTTCCCAAATCTGCACTCACGAAGCCAAGCCGTCAATCAATCTGATGGGCCATGGATTACAGGGACATCTTTGTGGACACAGAAAGTGTTAAAAAGTACCAACTTACTGTGTTGCAAAGGCCATGTATTGAAAACTTGGGAAAGAATGTCAGGCAGCACGAATTTTGCCCTTAAGCAATATGTGAATTACTTCTTAAAATTAGTATCCCATGCTTATTAGGATTTCCTTTTTCATTAAGTTCCTTTGCTACCTCCTCAGTGTGCATACATCAGACATGTATTTCTATTCTTCCAACTACTGGACACTTTCTACCAGGCCCACAGGAATCAGGGTTCTCTGTACGAGGTTTCCTACCCTGGGACATTGTGGTCTGCAGGACAAGAGCTGTCAATGAGAGCTGTGAGCTCCAGAGCAGTCTGAAAGCATGTAGGTACATGCTCAGTGGCACCACCAGCTCCCAGCCAGCCAGTGCCAAGGTGATTTTGCATAGGGGGAAGAGGTCAAATCAAGGTGAGACTTAAGCAGACCATGTAAAGTTTTCCTTCTTCAGACTCCTCATGCTAGAGGGTCCCCCAAGGAAAAGCCCTGGGTAATGCTAGTACTCTGGGGTTAGACTGGGAAACTGAGCAAGAAAGCCAACTGTATATGTGATTTCCCAAAAGGGTTTGGAAGATCTAGACACTGACAATGGGGTTGATGGGTGGGAGGTGATATGTGTCACGACAAAGCCATGGAAGCATTCAAAACATGAGCTGATCTGATTCCTCCTCCATGAGCTTTACTATATGCTGATGAGATGGATTTGGAGGCACAGTGGTTAGCACAGAATGGTTTTGAGAGCCCTTAGACATGGAGGAAATTCTAACAGTTCAGAGTTTGAGCTTTATTTGGATCATATACACTTCAGAAAGGCTTTTTTCAGAACAAGTAGTTATATAAAAAATAGAAGAAATGGAAAATAGAACAGGCTGCTTGAGGAAACAGCAGAAGTAGAAGGGTAGGTCTTGGACACTGTTTGACAGAGCAAGACTCCAGGTAGCAAACCAGCAAGAAAATACTTTCTGCTCAGCTTGTGACATGCTCCAGAGCAGCTGGGTAAGGCTGGTCCTGGGAGAGTATGGACCATGCTGGGAAACATCACAGAAGCACCTGGACAAACTGAAACCCTCTGGACATCTGTGCAGCTCTCAGTCCTGCTTGCATTTGGGATGTGGGTTTTATGCACATGACTCATGTCTTGTAAAGGCAGGGAAAGAGCAGTTATTTGCCTCTGCCTTGTCCTCTGCTTTTGTTAGTTTACTATACAATTTTGTTTTACAGGTAGGCAGAGGCTTTTATTTTCTTACTGGTGCAGTTATTTCAAGGCTGAAGAAAGGACAGAATTGTATATGAAGCATACAGGTAAAGAAGGAGTCCTGATGTGCAAGGCCCTGCAAATAGAAAACATATTAGAAGAGAGAACTCTGCTCACATAAACACAGAAGGCTGTTACAAAACAAGTTTCAGGCTTCCCTTTTGATAATTTAGAATTTGCTAGCGTCTCTTAAACCAAGAAAAATGCAACCATGGGAAGGGAGTGCCAGTAATAACAGGCCTGCACTCACATCCAGTGGTAAAAGAGAAACAAGCAGCAGTTCCCCCGAGGGAAGGGGGATTCTGGAAGTTAAACAGAACTGTTTATGGTTGTGAGGAGTTAAAAGGCTTCCTAGACACCATGGCTTCCCTCTCATATCCTGAGCACCTTGGGGTAATGCATTAGCCCTGCAGCACATGGAAACAGCCCATCAAAGAGCTTGCCTTCTGCAACTCCATCTTCTTCAGGAAGATCGAGGACAGGAAACACCAGAACAGGGAGGTGGGTAAGTGTGGACAGATCCTGCCCTCTAATATTCCTCATGGGGATTATTTACATCTTCTTTCTGTGCAGGAGACTGCTGGTTTCTCAAGACCTGATGCCTTTGCCTGCCCTAGTTGAAAACAACTACCGTTATGGGATTTGTTTTGTTAAATTTAAGGCAACTCACACAAAAATGAGGCAAAGTTCAATGTGACTCATCCTTTACACACTGATCAACCCTCCTCTTCTCATTTCTGCATTTTAATTGTTTTGTTAAACTTGCATTTGAGACCTTTCTGTAATATGACTTTTGGCTTGACACCAGGTATAATTTTCCTGCTCTAATAACATCTATATTCTAGGAGTACTCCTCTTGCAAATGTGCCGTGTAATCTCCACACTCATTGATCCTGAATAAAGACAGCATCAAAATCTGAGTCACAGTCCTGTTCTTCTACACATTAAGTGTCCATTTTGGTTAAACTGACGATGGCTCCCGATTCCATTCCATACCTGCCCTTCCCTTTTTTCTGGTCTTTCTACCCTCCTAACAGGACGACACAGATGACCAGAGCATAGTCCAACATGTCTTTGTGTCTGCCTTTCACTTGGCTTTCATATGGATTTTGTCTCATGCCTTACGTCAAGGATGCTCTAGTGGCCCTGTTCAGTTCATTGTGTCCCTTTCTGCCCATCTCTCCAAATCCTGGCTGAGATCAGTGGCTGAGAATCTTGCATTGAGAAGCTGAGCTCAGAAGTCCAAAATAGTGAGGCTATGATTTTAACTAGGACCATTCTGACAAGACTGGCTCAGCTACACTTGCCCATCCATCTGGGGATCCTGGCACTGGAGGAGCGATTATCTCAGTGGCTTTGATTGATGGGGACTGAGAATCATGGCAGAGGGATGAGAGCTGGGAAGATCCCTTCTTCCTTTCACTTCCTGCAGGGCCTGGCAGCTCAACTTAGTCATTGTCTCCTGACAGGAAGAGGGGAGGTCTCTCAAGACCTTCATTAGTCACTCCATCTGCATATCTTGAGTCTTTCTAAAGTTAGGCAAGCAATGGGGTTGGGGACAGAAGTGCTTGAACTGGAAAATGCTGCTAGCTTTCTGGTCAACCCATACCTGTGTTGCAGAGTACAGTTTACTCAGCTTGCGTAAGGAGTGTTTTCTTAACGCATTTTGCTTTTGAGATGCTCCTGTGAGCACATGCTGGGAAAGGCTCCTGTTCAAATCCAGTAGCTGACATAGCAAAATCTTGCACTCAGTTGTTGCAAATCATTAATTCAAAGTCACAATCCATTTGGAGTAACTCATGGAAACCCATTATTATTTTGCCACTGCTTGTTTTGCTGCTTAGACAACCAAAATGCTTGTGAGAACAGGAAAAACTCTTGCTCTTCGCCTAAAAGGTGTAAAGAGCAGTAACACACCCCAAGTGAGAAGCAGCAAGATGTACGGGAGGAAAGAAAGAAGACTTGGGAGGTTAAGAGCCTCAAGACTCCCTGGTGCCTCAGTTACATGGCTCTTGTCAGGGTTAAACCTAACACTTTCCTGAAAGTCTTTTACCTGGTCTCTCATTTCATTGTAAGTCGCAAGGGAGGAATGTAATGTGGTGGTCTTTCACAGCTGAAACACACAGAAAATTATAAAACATATATTAAAGGAGCGTCACCGTGTGGCTATGCAGTTTCTATCCAAAGCCATGGAAGAAGAGAGGAAAGCATTTGAAGGAGCTAAGTCATTTGGGAACTTTGTGGCTAATTCACTGCATCTCTTTCTCTGCATTTCATAACTTCACACACGTGTTTGCAAGGCAAAATTCTGCAGGTGCTTATCTGCTCACATTCAAGGGTTAATTTATAGAGCCTCTGTCCCACAGAATACATATACTGCTCTTTGCACAGCTGCATAAAATACTGTAAACATTTAATAGCAAATAACGGTGCAGTAGAAAAAAAAAAGGCAAATCTTCATAGGAAGACTTTTTTTTTTGTGGAATGCCTGGATGAAGTAACAATGAAATAGCTGAATTAGAGGGTTATACATACTTACATTTTCCTGAATGAGCTAGTAAGGAAAATTGACAATTTGTGTATCATGTCTATTACTGGCTGTCAAATAGGAGCAGATGTGTTTAAACTCCTGCGTCCAAACTCTGCTGTTATCCTTGTCCAGCTGCATTCAGTCAGCTCCTCCATATGTAGACTACACGTGGCTTCTTGGCTTTTGCTATCACAGCATGTGTGTGAGCATAACAAATGTATGATCGAGCTAATTTAATTCTCTATGACCTACACAGAACCCCCTTGATCTAACCCCTGAAATGCTGCCTCTACAAGATGTCCCCAGCAAGGCCCCTCTTGCTTGTTGGAAGTTGGCCTTCTTTCAGAAGAGTCTAACAATACCTTCCAAATCAGGGGTATTCAACCACACCTGCCCAATATCAGAGATAATTATCAGCATGATTTAACTGGAAAATTTTCAACTCTTGAACATACTGTGGTGACATTTGCAGATGGTACTGTTAGTATGCATGGGAGGAAACAGGCTTTTTGTTAATAACAATTTGTTAATTTTTGTTAATAATAATTTGTTAAGGTAATGTGTACAGGATTTGGTATTTTCAGATAGTTGTACTAATGCTAGCGATAATTACATCAGTGCAATGATATCAGTGAACTCCCCCGATACCCCTGCAGTGAAGTGACTTGCACAGATTTAGCTTAATTTGCAACTTCTGAAGGAAGTGTGAAGTACTTGATACCAGTGTTTTCCCAAATGGCAGGAGTCTCTGAAGTGCAGGGTGGGGCTGAAAAAAAGGGAACAACTTTAGGCTGCCATTAGCATTTTAGAAGAGGACAAAATACTTCACACCAAATAAAGGTAAAAGACCATAAATATTTTCTTTATGTTAACTATCAATACAGCTACTGTTCTTGCCACAGGGGTGCTTTGCAGATTGGACATTGAAGGGCAGTTCCCATTTCTCTCTTTTGTAACTTGTGCTCCATACTGCGAAAAGCCCCAAGCATCGGTGTTTTCCATGTATTAGGTCAATGAATGGAACCACTATCAGAATACACCAAATGCCGATGGAAGATGTCAAGAAGAGTCTGACACCCACTAATTCTAGAGCTAATTTTAATGTTATTTAATTACCATAATGAAGAATGGAATGAAGAATCTGTGGCTCAGTCCTGTTCTCATAGCATTTTATGAGAGGTTTGGCACCAGCTTTCATGAGAACAGGGCTGGGTGTCATACCTTCATATACTAGTAATGAGAGAAAGATTGTAAGTATCTGTATCATCTGTAAAGTCAAATGGTCTTTGCAAAGCAAGCAAATGTGCTGAAACCAACAAGAGGAGGACCTGCAAGGGAGTCACTTATATAGGGGAGAGAACAGATGTCAGAACAGTGGGAATATGACAGTGTTGCATTAACTAGGGTATACAGAAGCTGTGTATCTGGCCCTGCCTACCATGCTGGGTCTCCCTCAGAGACCTGTGCTCAGGTCCAGGAGCCTGTAAGAAAAAGAAACAAACTGAAATCAATCTATCGCTGATGAAAACACAGGGTTTTGGTGTTAACTATCAACCAGACAAGTGGGTGATAATTAAAACAAACAAAGAAAAACCCCAAACAAAAAAACCAACACACACACACCAGCACCACCAACAATCAACCCCCCTCAAAGATCCAGCACTGACAAAGCATATTCCAAGGTTTTGGGGTATTTGAAAACAATGGATTCTGGCATATGAAAAACAGAAGGGTCTGAAACAAAAATGCCCTAGGAATACAATGGCTTTTACATGCACGAAAAGCAATGCAGAGATAGATTAGCTCACAGCAAGTGAAACTGAAAACCATCAGCCATGCAGTGCAGGAGTAAAGGTCCCTTGGAGACTGAAGTAAAAGGGAAAGGTGTCTTTGTAGACAATGAGATCCTCTCTTCCAGAAAACACTGACGTTAGTGAAAAAAAGAGAGACAGAGGAAGGAAGGACAACACACCCTGAATCTGTTCCCAAGAATACAGAATCCAGCTGTCAGCTGGCCACTGACTGATGAGGATTACACTGGACAGACAAGCAATCCTTCCTGGACTTTCTTCCAAGGCACTTGACAACACAACAAAAAGAGAAAATGGGTAAATACAGAGGTGGGCCAGAAAGCATGGCATGGCCAATAAGGCCTGGTCAGAGCAAAGGCAGGTATACATGCTTACACAAGATGTTGTGCATACTGGGCTGACAGCACATGTAGAGCTGACTTCACATGTATGCACTGAACTGAAGTGGCAAAGGGAAGCCTGGGTTCATACTGATCATTAATATAAGTGCAGATTTACAACATGACACACCTACCTTGAAAATCAGTAATTCTCTGCTTGCAGAAGTGCTTGTCTACTCCTAGCATTGACATCAGATGGACAGTGGAGCAGAACAGAAAAAAAAAGAGGACAAGATATACCTATTTCTCATGTTTCTGCTGCATGCAGACAGGGAAATGCAGAGGGATAAGTGGAAGAGATCTGGGGAGATTGGGGAATGAAGTAACAGCCAGAGAACGCAGGGTCAGTGAGAAGCCTAAGCCATTTTAGGTGAAAACAAGAGGCTAGCGTATGAGATAAGCAATCAGAGAAGATATCCTTACAGTGGACACAGAAATCTCACAAGAAGTGAATGGATCTGGCAGGGAAAGAAGAGCCAAGAGCCTAGATGATGGTAACCTGCAACAGGGGTAGAGGCCTCTGGATGATACCTTAAAGGAAGAGAAAACTGGTTACAGGCAAGTAGTGGAAATGAAGAAAAAAGGAGAGCACCAGAGAAGTGCTGCTCCCTATGTAGGATTGCCAGGGGCAATCTGGGACATAAAAGCAAGTGAAATGCAAAGCCTTAGGGGAGTTCAGGAGCAGCTTTAGAGAAACCACAATAGGGAGAGTTACTGTAGGACAGCGTGGTAAGAACTCTGGGAGGAAAGCTGGAGACCAGGGCCAGGGCTAAAGCCAGGGAAAAACAGAGAAGGGAAATGTGAGTGACAGAAGCTACCTGGGTTCAGGAATTGCTACAGGAAAAGAATGAGAAGCAGGAAGAGAGCAGAAGATGTGGCTAGATGAGATCAGGCACCAGAAGTGCAGATTGGTAGGGAGAAAGGGCAGAAGTAAACAGCATGGTTGAGGAGCCATGGTGGCAGCTAGCAGCAGGAGCTTGCTTATTTAGCAAGCCAGGCCGTAATTAATTAAATCAAGTTAGGCAGCAATCAGTCAGTTAAATCAGGTAACAATGACTCAATTAAGCTGAACCGGGGAACAATGAACTTATTACATCAAACCAGGGAACACCAAATTGATTAAATCAGCTGGGAGCTGCCATGGGTCCATCCAGGGTCTGGGCTTGGTGCCGCTCTGGCAGGGAACTCTCACTGGAGCTTCCTGCTCCAGGAGAAATATCACAACAGCAACTGCATCGCTGCTGACAGCCCTTCTTGTCCCCCCTTTGCCCAGAGCGACGAAATACACAGCAGACTACAGCTGATCTGATTAAATACTTCAAATAAAACAGAGGGGTGGGAAGATGGAAACTGTCAGCTTCCAAATTAGCTACAATCTTCCAGAAATTACTGGGCTGCCTAAGGATGGAGAAAGCTCTGCCTTTAAAATCAAGCTGATGCTGGACATCCAGAGCTGTCGTCTTAAGAAATCAACTGAGAGGCTTTGATGGGTGCCTGACAATAATTTAGTCTACCCTACCTAGTCTGCAGGAGAGGTATGCTTTCCAGTGTTGCTCTGGGAGAGTATGGAAATGTACTAAAATAGTTGCCTATGTCCATTTTGAGGTAAAAAGTGCAAATTATATGGATTAGTGTGAGTCAGGCTGGTCCTGTAGTGGCAGTCCTAGGAACCACTTCCATGCCCTTTCATTGGTCCCCCACATAATTTTGGTGTTTTGGTGATTTTTCTGGTTCTCTTCCTGTTCCTTCTTCTCTCTCCAGAAGCAGGGAACATCACTAATATATGTTTCTTATGGGCTATTTGAGGAATATCAGTTAACTGAAAATTAAAAAGGGAAAGTCTCATCGATAAGGACAACTTGAGGTCAAAAAAGACAAAGGAGATAGTCATATCTGTCCTGTTATTCAAAAGAAGTGCAATCCTGATTGTTCTGCAAGGATCTGTAAAGCTCTTGAAGGTGGGAAAAAGTATTGCTTGTCATAGCAGTACAGATGTTTGAGGAGCTGTAACAGTTAATAAACAGTGATACTGCACAGCCAACCTTTATGATACTGCACATTGTCATTAAAGCAATTATACTGAAAAGGAAGTGACTCTTTGGGTGTCATTTCTGGCTAGATGAGGTCCTGGGATTTGCCGAGAGTGTGTAAATCAGGACTAACATAACCCCTGTATGAATGCTGAACAACAAATTAAAGTCAAGTCTGAAGAAAAGCAGTATACAACAAAGATGGTGCTTCATCTGAGAATTAGTATACAGTAGCAGTACTACATATATGCCTGTTTTCCCTGAACAAATGTGCCACAAGGGAGCGTGCCCTTTGAGACACACCTGCACAACAATTTCGCACTGAGAGACTGGACTTAACTTTCTTTTTCCTCCTCTGAATGGTCAGAGGGCAAAAAGAGTCTAATTAAAGTTGTGAAAGTTTGGAAAGAAACTAGGCATTTTCAGGTTTTTCAACCTCCCAGTCTTTAGCACAATATTTGAGCAGCGGTCTGCCAAGAGAAAATGGAAAAGAAACTTCCTGGTGGCTTGGTTGGTTTTTTTCTCCTTTTTTATCCCTTCTGAATAATAAGAGGACTGAGAAGTTGGATTTTTTTTTTTTTTGGCACAAATCTTCAGTCTAATGAAATACATGAAAATGTGGTTAAAATTTCAGCCAAAAGTCTAGTCTTTTCATACTTGATTAGAATGGGCAGGAGGAAAACTTGACTTATGCCAGTATTTTAAAAAGTGCTTGTGATTTAAATGCTTTTACAGGATAGTCAGCCTTGCCTGTGTTATGACCTTGTAGATGATGTTATGCACTACCAAGGAGATTTGCCTTATCCTAAAGTTGGGCTTTATAACTAAAGCTACTCTTGGTCCTCAGTATAATGTTGTGACATCTCTATTTATTTTCTTAAAAAAAAAAAGAAAAAAGTATTTACAGAGATGTTTCTTTTGTATCTGCATCATCATGTGAGGCATCTATTGACACAGAATTTCTGAACACTGTAACTTTAATTTTCTACTTTGTTTATATGTCAATAATAGATGGTTTCTATGTTAATCCATCCCTCTCTTCTCCCTTTTTACTTAAGAATTGTGTCAACAAAATTACTTATCTACTCTGTAGTGCACAGCTGCAGCTCTTACAGGAGGAGAGCTCGTCACCATTCAAGAGTAATCAATTTGCATGTATTTATTTCACAGGTTTATCAAACAGTACTTCTCATAAGTACTGGCTAAATACTGAATATACAACATTTCTCATCCGTAAAGAAGCAATTACAATTTAGCTCTGATTACTAAGTAGTCAAATTACTAAATATATTTCATTTTCCCCCCATAATTAGAAAATCACATGATTAAAACTAGGAAACCCTTTTTCTATTCCTTTAAATTTCTGCACTCACATGTGTTATTCTTTCTATTTTATGTCCTTTGCATCATCACTTATAATCAAACAGCGAGCTGATGTTACCAGGTTGGAGAAGTAGCATTTGAGATGAGAGATTAAAAAGTTACCCAGCAGAAGACAACCTGGCACTCTACCACCCATTCACCCAGTGCTCCCCTTGTGGTTCCAGTTAAAGAATGGTTAGTGTGATATTGTCTCATTTTTGAACACAGAACATCACTAAAGACTTTTTCTTTGCTTCCAGAACTGGGTGGTTTTGCCTTGGGATAAACACCAGGTGTTGGCCTCCAACCATAACATACTCCTGATGGCAGCACAGTGAAGACCTGATCTAAGACATCTCAAGAGAGGTCCACGTTGTACCCCTGCTCACTCATCTCCAGCTCATCTCCTTTAGGCAATTTCACAGTGGCACCCATAGAGTCTTGCTTCCACAAGCTTTTCATAATACTTTTCCTACAGAAGAAAAAAAATCTTCAACGGCAAACACAGCCTTGAAAACCAGCACAAAACTCAAAATCCTCTGCTGCAGCTAAACATACCCAATGTTTATCATACCCAAATCAACCTTGGAATGACAGAGATGGGACATGTTTTACTTTTTCAAGGTCACTGAGTTAAGCAAGAAGGTGAATAGAAAGGGAACACACAAGTTCCAGATGTCTCTTCTATGCTTTTCTTACATTAAGATATGGGCTTCCCCTTTTGCAAAGTGCAGATGCATGGCCAGGTCTAGAGCCACTTCCCTTCACACACACCATACACATGAACCTTGAACATCATTTGAACACACAACTCCCCCAGAAGTGAGTGAACACAAGAAGACTCAGGCCTCAGGTATTTATTGTTTGTCTACCTCAGCCTGGTCCTAGAGTGGCTGTAGTGAACTGACTGCAGTGCTGGGTCCCCCACAGCCAGGGTACAACTGCTGAATGGTCCAAGTTAAGAGCTGACCCTGCTTTGTCCAGGAGGTTGGACTAGAGGTCTCCTGAGGTCCCTTCCATTATCAATCTTCCCGTGATCCTAACATGCAGGTTCCATGGATCTAAGTGCAAGGATAAGAAGGAGTGTTGGAGGAAAGATGAGCATGACAGAGGCATAGGCTAATGTTTAAACCACAGGTGATGGCAATTTATCTTTCAGGTATAAGGTTGAGTTGCTTGTGCTAGAAATTTCTACCTCTTCTTCCTGAGCATGAGAACAGTTAAGCCATTGACTTTCACAAAAGATTTTCCCTGGTGTTTTTATCCTAGGAAGTGGATATAAATGGCAGAACTTAGCTCAAAATCATTTATCATTCAAGCCTTTACACTTAAGAAGTACAAACAGATATTTTTCACCAAAGCCAGAACAAATACACTGTTGTTGCAGTTGTGCTGTACATTTTCTTTGAGAATTTAGTTAAGAGGATTAGAAACCATTTATTTAGTTTGACATGTGTGCGTGCAAGATGGAGAACGCAGGTTTGGGCAAG